TCAGGCAATCCACTCACCTCAGCCTCCCAAAGGCGCGGGATTACAGCCTGAGCCACCGAGCCCGGCTGTATGCTTTTCTAAGGCAACTTTCATGTATATGTGCTGATGAACTACACAAACATGAATAATCCTTTCAGTCAGAAACTTAAATTTTATTTTGAACTAATTAGCATCTTTTTCCAAGACAAATTTACCATCCTACACACATATTGCTTAGGAGTTTATTAAAATTAGCCTGTCTTCTACTAGTACAAGAAAAGGAAGACCCGATATTTGTTGGATAGCTTTGAGAAAGCTGATTTGGAATTAAAATATTGACATTATCTATCAGGGTTGAAAAACACCTCAATTAAAACCAACAAACATTTGCACCTTTATTAACTAAAACTGATTGTAGGCCTGCTGTGACAAATTTTATTAAAGCAGAAAGCCCTATGCTTTCAGTATAATGTCTATAAAGCTACTGATGTGAATTCCTGCTTACTCCAAAGAAGGAAAAATCATTTAAAGATATCTGTAGAAAGGAACACATTTATTCATAGCAAATACTCTAGTTGTGCTTAATTCAAACAAATAATTAAAAGATATAAAGGATGCACAAGACAAATGTGCCTTATTTTCACACAGAGTTCAGAATGTGTACCAAAAGGCCTCTTCTTTTGCTCATGCTTCTTCTGTGATCCATAACTACGGATTATGGCTAGAAACTTGGATTATGTGTGGAGAAAAATGAGAATATACAGAGATAAATGCAAAGAAACCCCAGGATACTTTTGTGTATGGAAACCAGTGCTCTCTCCAAATTCTTTGCTTTCAAATTGGGGCAATTTGCAAATGCCAAAATAGAATTAAATAAAAATGTAAGACATAATATGTAAGTGAAAAGCTAACTACAAATCAGAAAGAATATATTGCCTAAACCTGCTAGGAAGGAACTCCCACAGTTAAATCTGATTTTGAACAGTGTTTCCTAATTTCTCTCTATAGCCTTGTCTATTTTAACACTAAAGGCAGCTATTAAACAAATAGGATTTCAGGGTATCTAATCTTTCAGAATTAGGAGTGAGGAGAGGAACCATTTACCCCTTAATTCCAAAAATGAATACAGGTAAGAAACAGTGTCAATTAGTTAAGTGAGCTCACCCAAGCCACAGCCCTGAAGTGGTCAATTTTAGTGTAGGCAGCCATTTATCAGCACCAAAGATTATGTTCCACATGTTACTCATTATGGTTGTTGGCTAAGAGACCACAAGAGTTCCAACTGTATAAATGTTCAGTTTATGGGTCAACCACTGAGGTCAACACATCAGTGGTGAGTGCATTTGATCTTTGTGCTGAGATGGTCAACACTACCTTCCCTAAAGAGAATCTAAAATACCAGAGGTTAAAGCAACAGGAAGAGGCAGCTAAGCAGCAACAGATCCTCACATGTTACCACCAAGAAAAAGTAGAGTAACTGGAATAAATCCAGACAGCTAATATGCTATAGTGATTCACTTTTGAGTTCAGAAAGATTAATCCTTGTGGTCATAAGAGACTTTCAAGAAGGTATCATCTGAAATATAAAAAGCCTCTGTGGACCCTATGTCTAGGAATCAACTATTCAAACATACTCCAACCTTACCTAGCATATAACAGGATACCTTTTTTCCTGTAACGTTTGTACTTCTTTACTTTGAAAATGCTTTTATTTAATGTGTTCTCCATTTCCTTAAGCACAGGCTGTGCCTTGATCCATTACATCAACATATAAATCAATCTATTTCCTAATCTAACATGTTACAAATGGGATTTCACTGCCAAGTCAGCACTCCTGATATCCTGTGAACCTGGAATCCTCTACAAAAAAAAATTAATGCCCCACGCGTTGGCACTTAAGCCATTCCTTGTGATCTATGCACACTGCAGCACTTTTAAGGCTTCGAAAACAAATTGCATCAATTGCTTTCCTAGCCCAATGCTTCCATTTTACTTAATAATTCATTCTTAATAAGAAATCTCATTTTATTAATTTGGCTCAGGAAAGAGTTTAGCTATCCAAGGACAGAAATTCAACTTGGTAAAAAGTACTTCTAGTAACTTGGTCGAAAACCTGAAATGGCTTAGAGCAATAAATATATAAATCCAAATAAATAGAAATCTGAATCGACTTTAAGTCAAGGCCTTTAATCATCACCTCAAAAAATGCAACTCCCGGATCCACCTAAACCCACCTCCCTTCACAAAGCCACTCAGGACCAAGGCTGCCTCTGCATTCCAAATCAATTGTGAATACTGGTTATCTCTTCCCCCTCTGAAGCTACTGCCCCAAGATTAAACGAGGCTCCAGGGCTTGTGAAAGTGCCTGTCATAGAGGGAACATCTTCCAAAGAACAGGGTTGGATCCTACTACCAGGGGAATCATGTTTCCCTTAATGGGAAGGTCTTATAGATACGCATGCATTCAAGTTTCTCCCTGTGAAGGCAATTTAACACAGTTCTAGTTCTAATAAACATGGAATGAAGCAGGCCTTTGTAGCATCTAATTACCACTTGTTAGCTAGCAACAGTAAAAGGTACAACACTCTTACTAAATAACTTTTTTAGAAAAGTCAGTAAATGATAATTTATTGCAAGATTTGAAGGTCCTATATATCCTATATACTGTTTTCACTCCTGTTTGTTCAAGTGCTGAATGGTACTTCATAATTCATAAATTAAAATGACTTAAATCTATGTCCATGAACCTTTGCTAAAGATTTACTAAACTGATGTCTTTGACTTAAATCTAACCAAAAACTACGTTATTCTTTGTACATTTTCATTATATAGTGTTAACAAGCTTAGTTGCAAACAAATAAAAGACTTAAACTTTTTAAAGGGGGGGGGGCACGGGCTCGGTGGTTCAGCCTATAATACCAGCACTTTGGGAGGCAAGTGGATTGCCTGAGCCCATGAGTTCGAGACCCGCCCGGGCAACTTGGCGGGACCTCATCTCTACGATAAATCAAAAATTAGCTGGGCAGTGTAGTAGTACACGCCTATAGTTCCCGCTACTTCGAAGCCTGAGGCGGAAAAATCACTGGAGCCCAGCAGAGCAAGACTGCAGTGGCCAGGAGTGTGCCACTGTACTCCAGTGAGACTCTAACTCAAAACAACAACAACAACAACAAAAAGGTTTACTAAA